CCTAAAATATACAACTTATGCAAAGTACTATGAAAAACACTTTTCAGATTAGAATGAAACATTTTCAAATATAAAATCTTCGCGAATTTTAAACTTCTGATTTGTAAAGTCAGACCGTACTTAACAATAATATATAGACCTTCAAACTGTTCTAACGTATTTCTAATTAGAGAAAATGTGTTACTAAAATGAGGTCTAAGCAACAAGGTAAAAACTTATTTCAAGGTTTGAAATTCTAGAGAAATGTAAATCTATCTCTTTTTATCAGTTCGTAATAAAACATTTATTCTTAAACAAAGGTTAACTAAGATTCAGCAGAGTTGCAACCTATTGCTACTTCAAACAGTCACTTAGTTCTGTCTAGAACCTCTGAGTTTAACATACATGAATTCTTTAGCCATCTTAAATATTACATCAAACAATTTCTCCCGAAAGGAATTTTCTTTCTCAACTTATCAGTTTATTGTACTTCCTGTTATTAACATCGCGGACTGTTCTCATTGCCTAATAATATACGATCCGTAACGCAACAAACATGAAGTCCTAACCCAAAAAGCATAATTCAAAGAAACTTCCTAAAATACGTCATGATCTCTGAATATTTATTTCTAAAAGTTTTGCTAATGAAGCACAATCTGTCTGCGGTATTAATGTGTTTTCTCATAATATATTTCCTGTTTATGCGTTATTCACATTATTATCAGTTTCAGAAAATGCCAAAATTTAACCCTTTCATTTTGTCTAATTATATTTCTACAAGCAAATGCGAAATATTTTACTACAAGCATATCGCAGATTAAAAGAGTGGCAGATATGTAAGAAAATCGAATTTAATACTCTGCCACCAACTCACTCTAAAGTATATAGCTGATGAAATGAAAGAAAGAAAGAAACAGAAATTAGAAAGACTAAGCATTGAAGAATTTAATCAGATAAATTTTGGACACTTAAAATATATACCATGTCCACAAAAGTCTTTATCCAGATTCTTGCAAAACACCTTCTTACAAAAATGTTTCAAATGAAGTAAAGATTAATGTATTCGCATTTTCAAAATAAAAAATTAATTTAAACTTTTTAGACATTCAAGTGGTGCCTATAGTTATATTTAGGAAAATTTTGTATTCTCTTATAAAAGAACAAAACACGAAAGATTTGACGCCCGTACGACAAAAATTGAGCGAGTGGGGGTATTGTGTGGGTATTAAATTCTGCTGCACCCAAACTGAACAGCGAAATGTTTGCATCTGTACCTGACTAAAAGTAAAATATAAGTTTTTTTTAAAAAAAAAAAAGGTTTCCGAAGTTCAGACAGTAAGTGAGGGGCATTTCTATGCAGATTATTGTGAAAAGTATTGACCATCCTTCCCCCTCCAAATGGCGATCTTATTCACGTAATCTTTTAGAGTTCGTGTTCTACAGCAGGCTCCAGTATTAGTACGCAACCAACTAGTAATACCTTTTGCAGTAATTAAAGATTAAAAATATTTGGAGTTTGCTGAAATTTTTATGCGATTACCAGATTACGATTCTGAAGTAATAAAACTTCCAGGGACTATTAATAACCTATTTTTACACTTTGAAAACTTACAAATTACTCATGTGAAAATTCTTTCAGCTTACTAAATGTAATAAAATTATAAATTAAATACAACAAAGTCGCTGAATGTCATTTAAGGGGAAATATCAACCTCGAATGATTCCAATTTACTTCATAAAGCATTTCTCCCGCCTTAGCATACCTTCGTGGTGTAGCGGTCAGCACACTCGCCGTGTATTCGAGAGGTCCGTGGTTCCAGTCCTGGCAAGGACATTGCTCATTTTTTCACGTCTCCTGCTTCAAAATATCCTAATGTCTCTACAGTGGCGCCCGAACTGAATAAGGTGGATGATGCTTCTCCACCATCAGAATTTGGCGATTGGTACTTTAATTCTAAGTCATCCTTTAAAAGAAGGGTATGTAAGGTTTTTCTCCCGCCTTATTAGCATGTCTTCGTACTCAGCACACTCGGCGAGTATTCAAGAGGTCCGAGGTTCGAGTCACGGCGAGGGCATTGCTTCTTTATTCAACTTCCTGACATCCCAAATAACCTAATGACTCGACCTTTTTTTTACCGAACACTCATTGCAAATTCAGTATGACGCAGAAACTCGCAAATTTTGAATTTAATTCTCTCAGTCAATTTTTCCTGTATGAGCATCAAGCTTTTTGTTTTTTTATTTTATATAACGAGTACAATATATATATATATATATAATATATTAATATAAAATATAAAGGATGAATCATCATTTTAAACAGTTTTGTAACTGGAAGTGTGTGTCTACTATCAACGGTTGCGAAAATAAAGGCCGGGTAAGAACTATTGTAGACTGTGTATACAGCTTCCTAAAACGTTTTATCAGCCTGCAGCTAAAATCCAATTCAGGCTTAGTCTACTGCTTGCCGAAAAATATTCATTATGCAATCAACTTCCTTTTAAACAGTTTGAAAGAGCAGCATTAAATGAAAACGCAGAAATATCAGTTTCTAAGTCTTTCAATAATGTATATCAAATCGTAAGTAAAGGTATAAAAAGACAGAGCATAATTAAATTACAAAAGGTAATAATGTATTATTCTCATGCTGCATAAAGCAAGTAAAAATACAGATGGAGTAATTAAACAGCATTCATCATGCCGTAAGTGAAAAAATATATCAAATTTTCAAAAGCCTAATTATGATATTATATTACCATTGTTATGGAGATGGAGGTAAGTTACGGAATTTTGTGTTTCATTTAAACATTTACGTATGTCTTACTAGGCCGTCACCAATTAAGACAAAATAGCAAGGAAGGAAATTTGCATGAAATTTTAAATACAATGCGGTTTATGCAGTGACATGAAGACTCTCTCAAGGCAATTTTGATTCTGTCATGCCTATCTCATTTCAGTTTTAAATAATTCTAAGCAATGACTCACAGAATAGCTCTTAAACATACATATTCCTTACAGTATTATTTTCTCTCGTGAGACTTGGAAAATTCATTTCACCACAACGTTTTCCAAAACCAACAAAATGGAGAAAGACTATCAAATTACCAGAAATAAGAATTGTTAATAAAGTAAACGGAGCGCTGTTCTGTTAGAGTGCTAAATTCGGAGATGTCTATTTCTTGCAGTTTCTAAAAATCGAATCAGTAATATTTCATGACATATTCTTCAATAATCTAAAAACAACAACAACAAAAAAATCATTTTTATGTTTTAGTTATTCCATCTGTTTTTCTTTATGAAACAAGAAACCGTGTTATGAAATTCAAGATTCGAAGCTCATGTTTCGCAAATTTTAGTCATTAAATGAAGGGCAAACTATTCCTAAATGAACGTAAGGACAGTTAAAAGTAGAAATCCTTTCGTCACTCAGACATCTTACAGCAATATAAACTAATTTAAGACTAATAAAATAAAGTTTGGTATTTAGGCATTATGCCGTCGATCGTGCAACTGTCGCCAAGCAGAGCGATTTAGCGCAATTATGGATAAGCGTGAACCGACAGCACCCTTACATAACATCTGTGTTTTAGTATTATTCAATCTCGATAAGCCACCTTTTGTTTTTATAGATATTGTTGCGTTTTTTGCTTTTGACACCAGTTTCTTCCTTCACGTTCGTACGGGGTTAGTGTGGATTTGGATGGAATATCGTAACACACTTTATTGGCCAGTATTGTCAGGACAGCTCCAAACACGTTTTTACAGTCGTCGATGAACTACTATAAACACGCTGACATGATCAGCGACACAGCCTCCAGGTTATCAGGCTATCACTGTGGAGACAGCTTCACGGCAAAGCACTAGAGTACAGCCCCCGATTCTGCTTGGTCGTTCTCGGAACTCCACGTACGCTCGAGACTCTCCATGCTACAACTCGCGATGCACTTGACGGCACACAGAGCACAGCTCCCGACTTTTCGGTTCAGTCGTTCCCGGAGCTCAGCATGCTCTCTCGACGATGCACTAACCGCGATACATTACGAGACTCTTTCGAGCACTCGACGACCCACTCGGCACTCGCTGCCCGGCTGTCAACTCGATCGACTCTGCAGGGATTGACTCGCTAGACGAGACACCAACTCGATACTAACTAGATGAGACACACTAACTCGCACTCTACGAGGCACTCTGACTCGCACTCTCGACGAAACACACACTAACTGACTGCGAACCAGCAGGGTTTATATAGCTTTCGGCTTGTGTTCGAGAACATTTTGGGCTAAACCGGTAAGAATTCGTTCATGAAGATTCTCCATCCGTCCATGGCATGTCGCCAAATATCGACAAATGTGCGATTTCTCCCCAAATGTGGCAATACTGCCTCCCCTTGCCATTTTATGGCAACCCTAAAACTCCTTTGCGAGGAAGCTATCTCACTGCGCCTGTACTTTTCGTAACAATATTAAATTAACAGTTATTGCTGAAAAAATAGAATCACATTTGTTATTGCACACGGGTTCATTTACAGCTTCATGCAAAGTTAACACATGTTGGATGACGAAGGAAACAGCTGCATATGTTTCACAAAACAGTCATTGATCGAAGAATTACTTGTTGGAAGATTTTACTCATAGTGTTGTTCTAAACAGGTAACATTCGAGGTCCTAACAAAACAACAGAAATCGACAAAAGCCTTTTTACAAAGCTCAGAAATGAAGTGGGTGGAATATTTCAGCAGCAGTGGCTGTTTGGCAGATTGCGCAGAAAGACTAACGAATATTTTTTTTTTAAGAATTACAAGACAGAAGCGCGGCTCAGAATTCCGCAGCGAGATCTCCGCCGATTTCATAGTTCTACTGTAGCGAAAGTTTGCAGTCGACGGGATAATACATAAGTACTTAAAATTTTAATTCGTTTCAATTCATGTGAGAGGTAAAATATGAAAGTTTGCCTACAAGCGTCAGAAGAAATTTAACTAGCTTGGTGTTGACCGAGCTTTTAAGAGAAGTAGAAATGCCTACCTTTACCATAATCTTCCAGTTTGATGTTATTTCCGAAAGGTGATTGTGGCATTTCATCATTGAGGGTGAGGGAGTAACTGTGCTCTGATTGGATGTGAGGTGACTGGACGGCATCTGTCATCATTCGGTCGTTTAAAACTATGGGTTGATTATCAAGAATCTGGGTCCAGTCCGCGTCTGTGTCTAGATTCATATCTTCGGCGAGATGCTGCAAGAAAAAATATGATTAGAATAATCTTCTACATAACTTAGGCATTATGAATGAGAATGCATCAGAACTTATTGAGAAAACTATCAAGTTTAATCAGGGTACTAAAGTTCGCTCAGGCATAAGACTTTGCAGTGAGCACAATAAAACATAAAAAACTCTTCAGAGATACTGACACAAATAGATATGCTTATTTTTTTTCTAATAAAATGATACTTCATTACTTATAAGAGGCCTCGCATATACTTTGGCGATTGACGAATATTAAAAAACGCTATGGCAACCTCCAAAAAATAATACGTGAAAATAAATAACTTTTATTTACCAATTAGTAACATTTATTTACATTTAATCTGAAATACTATTTACTTACCTTTAGTAAAATAACATTTATTCATATTTATGGTCATATAATTTTGCAACTGCTGCTATATAAAAAACAAATATTTTGTCTGATTTTACATAACTACCGCCAGATATGTTATTATAAATATGAATCCAAACGTTGGCAAACCGTTAGTCTTTGCTTGTTTTGTTACTGCATTTGGCAGTATTTCCCTACAAATAATTTCATTTGGCGGCCATTTCTAGACTTTTGCTATATACAAAATTAGGCGTTTTTGTATGAAAATTAATGCTTGGTCTATTGATAGCAAATTACATATAGTAAACATTTTAGAGGTAAAAATTAATAATGAAGAATTCGATACAATAAACGATATCTAATTCTTATTTTCAACTTTACGGAAAGTCAAAAATTGCCAGCATTTAAAAAGAAAATATTACTGTAGAAGTCATGTGGTCAAAACTGAGTGCTAATTAAAAAGTAAGGCACATTACAAATATCACAAAAATTATAGCTTCTTTTGCAATTCATTATAAGTTAAAATGCTAAACATTATAGAGAAAAATAAAAAAAAAAAAAAAAAAAAAAAAAACATTAATGAAACGATGGTATCACAATCGAAACAGTCTGAAAATCAAATCCTCAGGTTAAAAACCTAGAAATTATGTTTACCAAGCTATGGCGACTAATCTTCCGATTTTAGCGATTGATCGAGGTGGTAGCTTTAATCCTGAAGTATCAATAAAATTATTATAAGTGAAAAAAAATCAAAATCTTTTAGAGAATATTCACTTCAGAATCTCAATAACGATAATAAAACTCTCGTCCTATAGTAGCACGGATAATATTTTACCTAATAATCACTGCTTTATTCTTGGAATCGGACTAGACAGTCCGTCCATGTTACTATCTTAAAAAAAAAAAGGGAAACTTTGAAAACCCTCCAAGATGATATGACAAAAAATGCGTTAAGACAAGGTTTCTACATTTTCAAGAAATGTAAAGAATCAATATGCTTTGAATGAAAGAAATATTTTCGTAACTGGCCATTAACGTTGAGCGACTACAAATGTGTATACCGTTTCTTTCTGACTTATTTTATTTAGTTTTTTCTCATTTCTGTTTCTGGCTGAATGAATTGTTGCCAATATGAAATCAACGAAACGTAATCAAACAAAAACATTTTTGGCACTTTAAAAATTTCATCCTTGAAGACAAAGTTTAATTAAAAATTAAATTAAACATTTTGGCACTTTAAAAAATTCATTCCTGAAGACAAAGTTAAATTAAAACAAAGAAAGATTACATTTTAATTTACATTTTAACATTCCGTACTTAATGCAACAAAAATAAATTCTTTACCTAAAACATCTAAAATAATATAAAAAGAAAGAAATTCCAGTTATGTTTACAAGACATTAAACACAAATTTACATAACAAGAAAAATGTCTAAAATAAAAATTCAGCTAAACTGGAAGGGCAATTGAGCAATAAAATTTTGAAAAGATTAATTTGTAGCAATTTCACAAGTAGCAAATAAAGTTGAAAAAATTTTTGGGAGGAAAATAAAAAGCAATAAATCTCTTAACAGAATTATTTAGAGTTCATTATTTTATATTGTTTTCACAATTATTTTTAAAATAAACTTTGAAAACACACGTCGCCGAATTTCAAGTATTAGGGGATGCTTAGAAAGCTTCCATTCCAGCAGAGCCGATTTTATATCAAATTCACGCGCTTGCGTCATAGTACCTTTCAATAGGCAATACTGTTAATCAGATTAAGAAACAAAACTGCATTTCCGAAAAGAATTTATACCCTGGATTATTCCCAAAATTAAATTTAACCAACCCCTCACACTACACGATCAATAAATAGTCTAGTTTTAATCCATGGGAACAAAGAACGTCTGAATTTCAAAGACAAGAAGTTAAGAATTATTTTCCAAGGAAGATATTTTCTTTGACAAAAGCCGCCGCTTGTGAGAGAAGAAAAAAGGGTTGATTTTTCATTTCTTTCTTTCCGAGGCAAACTACAGGAGTTCAGAGGTTATAACGCTACGCTTGGTTTAATGTGAAGTCAGGACTTGTGCATAGCAGCCTTAGGCAAGTTCATCAATGTGTTCCAAGGTAAAGAATGTAGTGTCATTCAACTTGATTCTTAAGGACGTTAGGCAGGCGGAAATTATGGAGTAAAACGTTAATAACTTGCATTGCATGAACGCGTTAAGAAGAGCAGGAATTAATGCGCTGCGTTAATGCTTACGCTTTCCAGCCGTAAGCTTTAACAAAATACTACATAAGTATTTTGGAAGTTTACAGGAATTTTTTTTTTTCTTTTTCTCCTAGCTGATGTTTTAGAAAACTATCCTTACTTGCACGCCCAGAAATCAGGTAAATTTCAGTTTTACCTTGCTTAGCACTAGAGGTACTATTAGTCTTGATTCTCACTTTTTTTTGTTCGTAATGTTTTAGTGTCTATCACTTTTTGCCCGTGTCCGTTTTTAAGTAAAAGGATGTTGCCCTGTGCGAAGAAAATGATGTATAATAAATAAAGTTAAAAAGACAGAAGTTAATAATTAAAAGACCAAAAAATTCCGTAAGCTATCTTTCTAAGAAAACTGAACATTCATATAATCAACTGGGTAAACAATATAAAAAAGTTAATAGCAACTTTTAACACTACAGTACCGTGAACTCAAAATATATTCCGCTTTAAAAAATTTTGCGATTTTGCTGTTGAATTTTATGCGGCGCAAGTAGGGAAAAGTAATAATAAAGAATAATAAAGTATAGCGGGAGTGACTCCAAGAGCAGATTTGTAATCTGCGAGCTTAACGAACGCATTAAAAACCGTAACAAACTCTCTGGTGCTATCAAAGTGAATCATTTTGATATAATTTCATATAAGATTTTTTTTTATTCTTTTAGTATCAATAATTAATAGCTTACCGAAGTTTTGATGCGATTTCATCTTTTAGGGCATTCTATGACAAGCACATAGGGTAAACCTATGTATGATTAGACTGATAGCTTGTGTTAGATACAAAGCAGTTCCCGGATACGCAGTCATATACCAATGTTCATAGGCTACTAGCCGAAAGACACAGTAATTTAATTTAGATCCATAAGTAGGACTATAAGTATTTCTCTCACTTACAGTCCTCGAAATCAGTAAGAAATACTCAAAAATGAAATTTTAAATCCACCGTTTTATGTCTGCTGCGCACAAAACTTTGGAAATAACTACGAAACTCAATTTTATTATCATTCTAAGACCGCACCAAGATGTTGTTGTTGGACAGGCCGCGTAAATGAGACCACATGCTTCACAGAATCAGCATATTCAATATATATATAATGAAACTACAATCATGTCTGTATTTGACACATTCAAAACTCTGAAAAACAGCTGTTTAATCGTAAAAAACATTTTGCATTATTTAAATGTAATTTCTTTCTCAACCCATCACCCATAAAAGTGCATTTAGGTGTTTAATGCTATTAGAAATGATTAGATACCGCAACTACAGTTCGCGAATATTAAGGAATACTGATTTTTATTTATGAAAAATAAGTTTTTAAAACGCTTATGCCAAACAAATATAGGCTATGATGTTTTAAAATGATGGATTGCGGCTTAACTCATTTATCAAATATTCTCGCGCGTTCAAGGAACCTGAAAGACTGCTGTGATGACCTGTTAGTCAAGGCCTCAATAATCCGAGTTAGTGATGTCAAAAACAAGTACTTAACGTAGTATTTAAAGTTATCCGATTTTAAAGCTGGAAAAGTAACAGTACTTGACGGTATAATGTAAATTATAAAGTTCCGCAAAATTATATAACTATATATGGTACAGTATACCATCAACATAGAGAAGCATTAAATAATGACATATCGATCAATGCTTTAAATATTTGAAATAAGGGAATTAAGCAAGCTCGGGCATATTTGGTTTTTTTCCCCCCTTTCTTTTCGGGCAGTCCAGAAGCCAAAATAGTCAAATCGGACTTGCCTTTGCTTTCTCACGCTCAAGACAAAAAATGCCCTAAAAAAGTCGGAGTATTGAATTAGGGCGTTTTGTTACTCTATTATTACACTCGATAGATCGCATGCGGAGGCTGGCAGTTTTACTGATAAACTCAACAAGAGCCTTTTCGCAGTTTTCTTAGCCGATTTTTGTACATCATGTCATGAAATAAATAAGTACAATTTTTTTTTCTATTAAAAATAAAAAATTTGCACCCGATTGTTCATTGCACGAAAATATAGGGTTAACTTCAAAAAATTTACACAGCAGTTCCGATTTGGTAAAAAATACTGCTATCTAACGGAGTGAAGTTTCATTAACTCCTCCATATAACAAAAATTGAAATCAAATACATAGATTGTATACACAGCAGCCGCTCAGCTGACTGGTGAAGTTTTATTCTTTGCAGGAAACTATTCAACAGACGACATATACTACTACTATGATTATTGGACCTTTCCTTCTCTTGTGGTTAAAAATGATTGACATAGGGTTCGGATCTATGGCTGCAAACGGAGTGAAGCTTTAATGGAGGATTTTCTAAGGGAAAATAACTCCTATTCATGCTATACATGTGATACCGCACAAAGAAAAAAAAATTCTTAGAAATTTCAACATCAT